TGTCACACAATTGTAATTCATACAATGTCACACTGTAGATCAATATCTTAATCAAAATTATGAATCAAAAGTAATGTATTTTATGATAGTCTTGCATACCTTTCGACGTAAATTTCTTTTTGACACGTATCATTCTGTAGCTGTTTAAAATGGCATAGAAGTTAGAAAGAGGTCTGTCTGTACCATATATTCTTCATCTTTATCGCGTCACTAAGCATCATTTGGCTATCTTTATAAATAAATATTGTACAAAACATATATCTAATATAATTTCTCTTTCTCTGTATCATGTCTGCCAAACAAGAGATCGCGGTTTACAAATTTTATATCTTTAAATAAATTTGTTAAGATTAAATTTCATTGCTGTCGTGATATCAAATTATACATTTTAATGTTTTAATCAATTTGAAGGTTTGTGGCTTGAATAGTATGCTCAATACAAAGGTCCAAATCAATAATTATAAGTTGAGTCATATTGCTAATCATCTGGATCTAAGTCCTATTGCTAGTCATCTGGACCTAAGTCCTATTGTTAGTCATTTGGACCTATGACCTATTGCTAGTCATCTGGACCTGAGTCCTATTGCTAGTCATCTGGATCTGAGTCCTACTGCTAGTCATCTGGATCTGTCTTATTGCTAGTCATCTGGACCTAAGTCCTATTACTAGTCATCTGGACCTGATTCCTATTGATAGTCATCTGGACCTGAGTCTTATTGCTAGTCATCTGGATATGAGTCATATTGTTAGTCATCTGGACCTGAGTCCTATTGCTAGTCATCTGGACCTGAGTCCTATTGCTAGTCATCTGGATATGAGTCATATTGTTAGTCATCTAAACATGAGTCATATTGCTAGTCATTTGGACCTAAGTCCTATTGCTAGTCATCTGGATATGATTCCTATTGTTAGTCATCTGGACCTGAGTCCTATTGCTAGTCATCTGGACCTGAGTCCTATTGCTAGTCATTTGGATATGAGTCATATTGTTAGTCATCTGGATATGAGTCCTATTACTAGTCATTTGGACCTGAGTCCTATTTCTAGTCATCTGGACCTGAGTCCTATTGCTAGTCATCTGGACCTGAGTCCCAAATAACCATTCCCTGCCGTTAACCGAGACCAATAATTTTAAAGCATAAAGAGCAAGGGAAACTACTCCGCGAACAGTGCTTCGCTTGATATGAAGGATTATGTGTCTGTCCTACATTGGTTGGTATTACTTTGCTGAAATCTAAGTTGCATTTTATTTATTCTCTCTTGCAAGAAAAAACACATGTAAGACATTCATCATATTATATAAAATCTTTTTGTACAGTCTTGATACCAAAAGCTTTGCTTATGTTGTTTGCAATACGTTGTACAGGATATTATGTTTTATTGTTTTTATACTTCTATTTAAATGTGCCTTTTGTACAATATTTCCAATGCATATCCTCGCAGGATGCAAACTACGATGGTTTTGTGTCTTTAGCGCCACTTTTCAGTACACAATATGCAATACATGGCGGTCAATATATTTGCAAGAGGAAGAACCCGAAATGAAACAGTCAGTATATTTGGTAGACAAAATTCCCGAAATAACTCGAGGGAACCACCGACCCACGGGAAGCTGCTGAAATATTTTTGATATAACCACGTTGGCCGATCAGAGACTTGAACCGACGCAGACAGATCTGAAATGTTACGTCTTACTGAGATAAACAGAAACGGTATGCCTGTGTTACTGTTCGAGCATATAGACAATGTAAACTACTGTAGTAGTAAAGTAAGGTCAGAATTAAAGATTTATATAACACTGAACGTTTAAACTTAGACGTTACTTGAGATAAACTGAAACGCAAGGTCCACATCTCATATAGGCAAGCATGGACGGGCAAATTCACGATTTCAAAATGGTGGCAGAGTGGTTGAGAACTTAATTTATACTCAGGTGAAATCTGTACGTTTAGGCAAGAGGACAAGTTCAATATGGTGATCATTGGCAATTTAAAATAGGTTTGGTTTGTTTGGTTGTTTGTTGTTGGGCTTAACGCCATTTTTCAGCACACGATAGGCTATTCATGGCGGCCAGTATTAATGGTGGAGGAAGAAACCGGGAAATCACCGGAAAGAACCACCGACCCACGAGAAGCTACTGGCAAGCTTTCTCACATATCTACATTAGCCGAATCCTAGACTCGAACACACGCAAACAGAGGTGAGATGGCAGTGATCCGTAACGGACAGCGCTTTAGACCACTCGGCCACTCGGGGCCCCTTAAAATAGGTTTGGAGAGCACATTTTCATACGGACTCAAATAAACTGAAAATTTGATATATTTTAAAATTATAAAGCTTGAAAACTCAGCACTGGATTGATACATAATATGACCAGACTGCTTAAATTGGCAGCATATTGTGTGACATCATTGTTTCATTTGTCAAAGATTTGTTTATTAAATTATATTTTTGAGTATTTCTAATTTTAACATATATGAAATGGATTTAGAAATTCAATGACTGGGTTGAAATCATGACTTGTAATGGTGCAAAAATTATGTCGATATTTTCTTGCATCGCATTTTGTTGTGTACATTGTGATACGCAAACATTAAGACCGACGTATGGGATTTGCTCGCAATAAATTGATAGCTTGCGATGGTCAACCTCTATTTTAATTAGGACCCGCTAGAAAAAAATTCCGACATATATTTTAACCTATTGTCCTTGGAGGAAATAACAAAGTAGAGAAAGTCAAAGACACACTGTGGGAAAACTAGGGCTATTTGAAATAGATATCCTAAAATTAAATTGTCACGGAATAGTTATTAATAAAGGTGCACTGGACAAAATTATTCAGACTTCGATCGGCATGTTAAACTTTTGGCAGTTAGAGAAAATTAATCAGGACTAAAAAAGCTTAATGAGGGGTTGTGTTTCGCAGACGAAATTCAAGTTTGTAAGTAATTTCCTTGCGAAATTCGCCAGTTCATGTTTTTCTTTCGAAAGGGAAGTCTGGTGGAGTTACAGTGACATGCAATTTAAGTGACACGCACACACACACACACACACAAACACACACACAGAGCCTGTGTTGACAAGAATTATAAACTCATACGTGACTTATCTGCTTTCTAGGGAAAGCGATTGATGCGTCTTTCTAAAATGACATTTAGCTATGATACAGCGAATCTCCTCTCCTGTTCTGGTTATATTTTTACTACGGCAAATTAACACACACACACACACACACACACATATGAAATTTGACATTTGTAGAAATGTTTCATAGCTCTCAGAAATGCTTATATTTCTTCTTCATGTAAATATATTTAGTACTTTATCCTGATGCACTTATTGAAAGACCCAAATTCCTTCAAATGCAAAACCAAAGTTTTTTTTTCCCGTTCCTTATCGTTAGGGGAAAATTGAAAAGTCATAACAAAAGAGTCATAACAAAATTGTAGCAAAACGATTTGCACCTACGAATGATAGAAGAATACAAAAGTAGGATTCACCTTTAATGCATATACCAAGTGCGTTTTTTTTTGTGTGTTTGAACCTTGCATTTGTCCCTATGGCATCACACCATCATTCCACTTAAACCGTTATAAAATAATCTATCCTCATCCATATGGTGGAGAAATCTAGCTGTCTTGTTAACTTTACTTTTCTTATCTCAGTCTGAATATCTCAGACCTGTCAGACCTGTTAACTCAGTTATCTCAGACCTCTCAGACCTGTTAACTCAGGCAAGATCCAAGCGTTAGGAATCTCTTCTAAAAAAAACCCGTTATTGTCTTATCTTGTGCCTGGCGTAGATATACTTTAATCAAAATGCAGCAGTAACAACAAACACACACACACACATATATATATATATATATATATATATATATATATATATATATATCTATATATATATATATATATATATATATATATATATATATATATATATATGAAGAATTATAAATATATACCAGACAGAACAGACTCTGCTATCCCTGGATTCTGTAGTAGAATCTTGATAATATTGGGCAGAAATAATAGTTTAATACAAACAATACTATCATACAGGTTAGAGAAATTAAATTCGTACTCTACCGAGTTTTGAACCCAGGTCCGCGAGTAAATGGCACCCATCGCCTTGCCTGCACGCATCAACCCATATACCGTCACGACTAAGCACGCATCACCAAAAAATGATGGCACTGAATCGTTGTTATACAAGCTCGTACGTAGCAGACACACTCGCATGACGACCTAGTGATTAATTCTCATATATACACACAGTCGTTCCAGATTCCTATGAAAGAAATCAAGGTATATAGGATTTTTGTTTTAAAAAGAATTATAAATATATACCAGACAGAACAGACTGTGCTATCCATGAATTCTGTAGTAGAATCTTGATAATATTGTAAAACAATATATATACACATGCATACACGCACCTTTGTCCATGATCAAAGGTATAATTTTGGCCTATCTGACGTTTATGATTTTTTTGCAAAAGATGCTTACTTAAGTTCGAAGCCTAAATTTGTTTACGACGTCTAACATAATGGGCATTTTATTTGTCCTAGGTCAAGTGATATTATATATGTTGGTCTTGTAAACAAGGTCTTGATTAATGTTTTATGTTCAATTCTTTGAATCAGCTACTGTTATATTCAGATATAATTTGAGCTAAATCATTTATTTAAACTACTGATTGGCACTACAATGTGCTCATTCACCTTTTGGACTAAAACACTCCTTTGGGATTATTGTGAATCCATTCAAGCCATTCTGGATTTTATCATTGTGCAAAATCAAGACTATTTTATACATTAACATATTCAAGATTATTTGTATATAATCACACTTAAAACTTTTGATGTATCATGACATTTAAGATTCTTGGTACATCAGGACATTAAAGATTTTTTTTAATTCATTCAGAAAATTCTATACTTTTGAAATTGTAATAGAACATTTAGGAATATTAAAGATTAACTTTTCAATCTAGTAACGACCGCTCCGGTGGCCTAGTGGTTAGAGCGTCCGCCTCGGATGCGGAAGGTCGCTAATTCAAACCCCGGCTGAGTCATTAAAACTTATAAAAATGGCATTTAATGGTTGCCTTACTTGGTCCTCAGCATTATGATTTTAGCGTTAGTACGTAGTGATCTGCCTGATGTAAGGATAATGTGACTGGGTGGGACATCATGCTATGTATCTGAGGCATGATGCTCCAGTGCTAGACATCACTATAAACTGTCACACAACAGATATCACTATAAACTGTCACACAACAGACATCACTATAAACTGTCACACTGCAGACATCACTATAAACTGTCACACAACAGACATCACTATAAACTGTCACACTGCAGACATCACTATAAACTGTCACACAACAGACATCACTATAAACTGTCACACTGCAGACATCACTATAAACTGTCACACTGCAGACATCACTATAAACTGTCACACTGCAGACATAACTATAAACTGTCACACTGCAGACATCACTATAAACTGTCACACTGCAGACATCGTTGTTAAAGCTATGTTAAAAATGCAAGTCAAACACACACACACAGTCACACAATGCTGTAAGTGTCGTCTGAAGTTTCCTTTGCATTCTAAAATAAATAATTGTTTGTTGAATTTGTTGATTTCTCTTTTTCCTGTTACCGAGTTTAACACCATTGAGTCGCAACATGGACAAATTACTATTGCATTGGTATAGGAGTGGTGCTGCAACGGTAGAGCTGAGACAAGACAAGTTCATATTTTCTAATACAAAGACAGTAACCGTTTTATTTTATATTCATTTTGCTTTCCATCATAATACTAAAAACGCTTAATAAATATACAAAGTATTGAACTTCTGCTAGATTTCAGAGTAAGTACATATCCGTAGTTAAACAAATATCCAATGCGCATATATCACCATCCAGCAACTTTTGAACTTGGTGGCCTCGATGTCAAAAAACTTTCCCAAGTGGTCTGGAATGAGAGAATTTTTTTGTTGATCCAACTAAGCTCAAATTATCTAGCTGTGATATACTGGGGTTATTACGATGCGCATGTGACTAGAAGGACTGGTCTTGACAACATTTGGATAAGTGGTTCTTGTCTATGTTGATATTATGGAATGAAAATAGTTTTTATTAAAACTGAAATTATCAAGATGGTGTACGATTAAATATTATTGTTGGTGAATATCAAATTCATTTCGTTTGGAGTGAAGTAAAGTCTTCTATGGAATGTGATTATGCTGGAAGCGTAGTCTATATTGCATTACAATTTCGCACTGTGAATCAATTTTTGGAAACCATATACTTTTAGCAGAAAAAAAACTAAGAATGTACATAAATAGGAAATTTAAGCTACAAAAAGATAGTTTGGTTTCAAGTTTCTTTTGTGACTGCAATAACTAATCCATATCGTCAGCTTTATAATCTCAGCTTTCACATGGTTCAAACATGTTGCTTCGTTTAACCACAGACAAATCAACGCTGTGTCGTCTGGCACATGAGCATATAGATACACATGTCTCGCAGTATGATGTAGTGTTGTCTAAAATATTGCACGATTGTAACTATATAAAGGAAATGTGGACAAAAAAGTATATAATAATTAATCATATCACAGGTTGGGTAGACACTTTTGATCTTGATTAATATTTCAAGAAAAATGTGTATTCGTGTGGATATATGACACACACATTCATTCTGCCCAGAAACATAATGCGTACAGAGTATGTTCTCTATAATCTCTCTTGCGTAAGACTTTATCGTTACTCTCGAATACAAAGCAATAGCATCAACAATCTATCCCATAATCTTGTTAGCAAAACATAAAAAACACATTTATCTAGTCAACCCAGAACTAATTCGATATTCAAATAACTTAAGACATGATTTGTTCGAATGATTGCAACATAATATTTTAATTTTAATGCATATATCTGTGCGTGTCGTTTCGTAATGTTTTTTGGTTGCACGTACGATAGAATAAATATCGCTTAAGTCAGAATCATAAAAGCTGATAGGTTTATTTGTATTACTATTTAAATAATGTAATTATATAGGTGTCAATTATGGTAAGCTTTCAATGTCTTGTAAGAATAATTTGCATCAAATGAAATTTAAAATATCCATATGTACTAATATGCAAATGACCCAATTAGACTTGCAGTCATAATAACCACTTTTGTTTGTTGCATGCACATTTATGTACCTTTTGGAATGAAAAATATTGACCAAAATTTTGTTAACATTTGATTTGTAGGCAAGTGTCTAGAATACAACTGAGCTAAACAAAATTAGATATTTAAATATCCTGAGTAGGTCCATTTACATTCGGGTGCATTTTAATAATTCTGTTTTTGTTTTTTATGTTTAATTTAATTTTATAACATTTTAAAATCTTGTGGACTAAGCATTTTTAACAAACAAATTGTCAGTAAAATTATTCAAAATATGTTTAAAATATAAAAATAGAGATATGAAATAGTGTATGGAGCATTTGATAAAATATTATCAACATTATAGCGGGTATAAAATAGTGTGCGGAGTAATCGATACAATATTCTCACCATCATAACAGATATTAAATATTTTTACATGAATCGACTGAATATTCCATTACAACCAATATGAAATAATATGTGGAGGCATCGAATAATATTTCAGACATTACAACAGAAATGAAAAAATATTTAGCAGACTCGATTAAATGTTCCGTCCATTACAGTAGATATGAAATATTATGTAGAGGAATCCATTAAATATTCTTGCCATTTTTTATATATGAAATAATATGTGGAGGAATCGATTAAATGTTTCAGACATTATAACGGATATGAACATCATGTAGAGGAAATCATAAATATTCTCAGTTACAAAAGCTATGAAATAGAATGTTACAGGAATTGTTTAATATTCTAGCCATTACAACAGATATGAAATAGAATATGGAGGAATCGATTAAATATTATCGCCATTACAGCGGATATGCAATGAAATTGTGATGAAATGGACTAAATATTCTAGACATTAAGGCAGATATCTATAATATGTGGAGGATTCTATTAAATATTGTTTACATCACTTAAAATATTAAATAATATATGGATGAATCGATTGTTTTAAACATTACATAAGATATGAAATGGGATGTGGAATAATCGATTAAATATTCTCGCGATTACAGCATATATGAAATAATATGCAGATGAATCGATTAAACATTCTCACTTTTTATTTAAACATTTTCAAAATATTTTTAAACTTAGACAATTTGTTTCAATGTCTTGTAAGCACAATTCGACACAGACAGCTTGACATATACATATCCATATTTTGTATGCGTATTTCTATATTTTGTAAATGATCTTTTTCAATTGTTATGCTATAATAGCAGTTTTCAAATCTTTCAACATTTTTTAATTTTGTTTCAGTTTTATAATATTGTCTGCCTCCTTTTCTTCACCCCTTCGCTGTGCCTTGCAAGATTGTTTTTTTTTTTTTGCCAGTCCAGGATAACTTGAGACATGACTGTACCACTTTAGTTTGCGTTTTCTACACAATGGTCAAGAGGTAGAATCCAATGGCTCATTGGATCCTGCTGTGGACTTCTTCGTTGGTTACATGGTCAAAATATGAAATGCCCAATATCTTGCAGTACCATCTTTTATAAAGTTTGAATCCTTCCTTGTAGATCTGATGTGAGCGTCCGTGTTTCATATGCATACAGAAAAATGGATATGACAAATGACCGCATCATCTTTAGTGTGGAATGAAGAGCAATGTTGATGTCTTCCCACATTGTTCTCAACCTTGTTATTGCTGCTAATGTCTGTGCAATCCTGCAAAGTAGTTCTTTTTTGAAGCCCTCATTTGTGATAATTGATCGCATGTACTTGAGACTGTTTCCAGCTTCTGTCAACTGACCTTTGTTTCAGCATTGATGTCATTGGTGTTGTTTGTCATCAGTTGCTTTTAGGCGCTAATCTTCATACAATTTGCTATGGAGGTTCAGTCGAGGCCTAGTAATTCAGTTATTATTCATCACCTGCTAAATCATCAATCATCTGCGAAGCTAAGGCTGGTGATTGTTCTTCTTCTGATGATGACAGCGCCATTGTGGTTTTTTATGACCATGATTATACCATATGATACACATATCCAATTTTAATCTACCGAGCCTTTAAAAATCCTGGATATCTGCCGCACGAATAATTCTGAAATTTCCTATTTAGACACCATCGATTATTCATTTTTGAAGTCTACAGTGGCAACTTATACCAATACGTATTCTTGATATAAAGGAATAATTACATGTTAGTTTGTAATCAGTCCAACTCCAGGTTATACCGCTAACATAAGGGAACAAAAATCATAATTCATAATATGCTGCGCGTAATCTAAGATCTACAACAATCGTTGAACTCTAGATTCCGAAGTCGAGAAAAAACCAATTCAAAAGCTATTCTACTTTATCAGCAGCTACTATTTGTAGACTTAGTTACCCCTGGGTATATGCAATTCAAATTCTCTTGCTTCATTTAAATCCACCAAGTGAAATGATATTTAAAGCCTGCCAATACTGAATTTTATAATTGCATTCAGAGATAATATGTGCATGATTTATTCTATCTATGTGTATATAGCTTCTGTCATGCTTAAATGTATATACTTGTGTATTGCATTGTTATGAATATTTAATTTGGATTGGATTTTTTTTTATTTCATTAACATTAGATGCAGGATTTAACCTTGTCCAAAATCAAGTTTATTATCTTTCTTATCTGAATTATTGGGCTTTTTTATCCAACTCTGTATGCAACTAATACATAATAAAACATTCCTTATGTGTATGGGTTCAATATTAGGATCATTATAAATATAAGCAAACATATTTATTTTATGTCTGGATCTAGGTTTTTGGGATTCTCCTGGCGCCAATAACATATTCCACGTTCAAAATTACAATTTTAGTAACGGACATTCTTTTTATCACTAAGATTTTAAATATTTAGAACTTTCCACATTGTATTTTTTAGGTACTGTTTTTTTTATTAGAAAATTT